CTCAAACTTGGAACAACAGGGCTCTGTGATATAGGGATCTAGGCATAGTCTGAAGAGGGGAAATAATACTAAGATGCTTGACTGTCTTATGAATATTGGTTGCCTTTGCCTACTATTGTAAAATAGACACTTGAGCAGGATAGAAAGGAATGTCAGGAAACATGATTACAGAAAGCTTGTCTTCAGCCTATAACCTATTGGATTACCTAAAAGGGGTTCTAGAACTTGCCCAGTGAAACAGGCCTCCTGCGGAGCCTTTGCAGTGTATAGGACCTTAGGTGGAATCCTGAGCCCCATCCAGAACCTTCTGAGGTGGGACATCCCCACAAGAAAGGACAAACAGACCAGCCTGGAACAGCTAGAGCGACAGAAGATACATAATCAAAGAAAGAGCATCAGGAAAACCCCCAAACACAAATGGCAGTATGATTGGCTATTACAAGAATAAGCAAGTTGTTTGCCTGGAAGTCATCAAGGCAAGCAATCAAGTCCCTTCAGGACAAACCACCTTCTAAGACTGAAACTCAAAGGGAACACATGAGTAGGCATGTAAGCTTATGACCACATTGGTCTACTGGTGAGTAGAAGAGGGGGAAAGGGGAAAGGCAGCAATGAAAAAAATGGGTTAAGTTCATCCACATTCCATAGACTCCCATTGACCTCGAGATGAGAGAGAGAAAAGGAAGGGCTAGTTGGTCCAAAGTGTGATGAGACCTGGGGGGACACTGGAGCCCACGGACAAGGACATAGCCACAGAGGGCTAGAGCTGAGAGTGAGGCATCCAGCTGATATGAAGTAAGGGAAGATGCACAAGAACATCCAAACTTCCAGATAGTATCCATTTGACCTAGCCTTGATGGCTTCATAATCAGAACTCGACTAGAGGAAGATAATAAGGAAAACAGTTTTTGATAAAAGAAACGAGGGTAAATTGCTACCATTTGATGAACTTGACCTATATTCATGGAGGTAGTAGCTCTAAATACCAACAGTGAGGGAAGGAGTCTTCATATCACGTATCAATGCTATCCCCTCTGTACACAGGGTAGATAGGATGGGCAACTTAGACACTGGCTACCTAAAATGAGGCAAGAAGTGACTGGCTTACAAAGTTTCAAGAGGGAGTTTAGTTTAAGTGTGCGGGGGAAGGTAGAGTCCCCACTGAATAGTTTTCATCTTGTCTAGACGGGTCTGTGGAAAGAAATGGGGATAAGATTCTTATGATTCAATAGTAATTGTTATCATGACTAATTGTGACTGTCACAATTGTAAAGGTAGAAGTTTTGTATAAAAAATGGTGACGTAGTTAATCTTACAGTCCAGAAACAGAGGACCCTAGGACCATCAAGGGAGAGGAGCACAAACGGAATGCGGGACCTTATCCAGAGAAGCAGCGACACCAGAGATGGAGGCAGAGATAGGGACATGGAGACACAGAGCAGTTGATGACTCCAGATTTATGGGAAGAGAGGGACTAAGAGGTGGAGATCAGGAGGCAGACTTCCAGAATGTGCTCTTTGGTGGTGTAAATTATATATACCTGAGTGTTGTATTTTTTTTTTTTTAATGCTAAAATGAATAGAGAGAAATACTGTTAACTGATGGTACATGGAGGGGATTATAATCATTGTAATGAAATAACGTATATGATTTGTTGAATGTAAAACTGATGATCTGGCCTGTAAACTTTCACTCGATTCACAATTAAAACTTTAATAATAATAATAAAAAACAGACAATGTACTTCTGTGGATGGGGGCAAGGGAGGTTCCCAGGAAAAGGAGTACTAGACTGAAAACCCAACTTTGTAAAGGCATCCTTTACAAAGAGTACCATTTCTGGGCCCTTTACCATATGCTCCCACATTCAGCTTTAGTCCTCAAATTCCTTGTTGTTAGTTGCTGTTGAACTGATTTGGCTCATGGAGAACCCACGTGTGCAGGGTAGAACTGCTCCAGAGGGTTTTCAAGGCTGGGACGTTAGAACACCAGACTGTTCTAAGACAGCTTCGGGTAGGTTCAAACTGCCAACTATTTGTGCCCATCAGGAACTTACTTAAGTTTCTAAGGAGATGCATATTCTTGTTTCATTTACAAGCAGGGTGACTGATGATACAAGCAGGTAATTAGTTCAAAGACACTAAAGGTCAGGTCTGCCCCACATTAAAAGGCTGTGTCTTTAACCAGTGCACTAACTTGCAGGAAGGAGACACCCCTCCCTCACAGCCACCTGTGGCCCCTTCCTTACTATAGGTTTGGTTAGGACCAAGGTCATGCTCAGTAAGAGGAGGTGTTTTGGGCAAGCCACTGACAGCTCACAATCTTCATAGGAAAACTTTAGTAGTGGTATTTGAAAAAGAGGAAGCAATAAAGGCAAGCATTCCTCTTCTTTTCTTTATTAATGAGTCAAAATACACAAAGACAATAAAAAGTTACATAAAAGGCTCACACATTGAGATCTTCAGGTCTCACTCTCCGTTCATGACAATGGCTATCTGTTAGTACTGTGTAACAAAACTGGGCGCTCACAGGCGCTCACAAATTCAAGTATCTTTCATTCTAAGTAAACCCAACAAGGAATTTCTAATGGAGGGCCCCTGTTTGTGGCTCTGGACTTATTGTAATGCATGAGGGAACCTAAGTTAGAGTTGCTATTAATTAGTGGGTCATATCTCTTGGCAAAATGAGATAGATCTCCTCAGACCAAGCAGACATTCTCCATAGCCAACGCCACAAGAAGGTGGTGGACAAAGCCCCAGGAGAAAGGAAACCAACAACCAACCACACATTCCCTTATGTGTTCAAGTGCAGAGGGAGGACATGGTCAAGGTGACAGCCTATGCAGGTGGGAGGACCAGGATTGCCTGCTGGGGAGAAATGCAGTCCCTAAGGGGGTGTCAGAACAATGGGAGGAAATCTGAGAGCACACAGTTGCACAGGGACAGGGTGATGGGGTTTAGCAAGGATGGGCTCCAGGGAACGTAGACTTAGCACTACTTAGGGTGTCTGGAAAACAGGGAGAATATCAGAATGTCACCAAAAACACAAGTCCCAGCCACTCCTCAGTTATGGAGTAATGTGGAAAACTGGTTTCCCAGAACCACTCTGTTATACAGGGGATGTCCAGGCCCTCTCTGGTCCAGCTTATCTATGAAGTCCCATTTGACACAGTCCCTTCTCTATAACAAACTAAACGGTGTCTAAAAAGTGTTATGTACCCATTTCCTATGTGGGAAATGAGGCCATGGGAACTGCAGAAGAGCCTTCCTTAACCAATATCTCCCTGGGCACACTGCTGTGTGCAGGATAAAGCCCTGAAAGATGACACCAGGAACCATCAGAGGCCCTGTATTGGTTTTGCTATGGCGATGGACCCCATTCTATGTCAACTACTCTACTTCCAACAAGACTCTCCTTTAGTGCCATCAAAGAACTGCAGGCTACACCTGGGTAGGAGGTGTGCTGGTGGTGGTCTGGGCCTAGTACAACTTTTCCAGCAGTGAGCACCGTCCTGTGCACAGGGCTTCTTGTCCCACTCTGCCACTTCCTCAACACAGAGCATCTCCATCCTTCCTCCCACCTGTCTTTCCTCTTCCATCTCCCCTTCCATGTGGCTGCCACGGATGCAGCTCAGAGGAGCACAGGGCATGGAAAGATGCTTGTCCTTTTATTGTTTAAAATGCTCACTACCGTTCAGAGATCTTGGGAAACTCAAAAGTACATCATCTGGAATGTTCTCTGTTATCCCTCCTTGGAGGAAATTATTTAGACAAATCAGTTGTTTTATTTCTAATGAACAAATATCCCAACAGTTGCATTTTACATTATTCTTCACCTGGGTCCTTAGTGCTGGTGATTTTGTTGAGTTAGGAACTCAACATACTTTTGAAATTGGAGAAGAATCTAAGTTTCTCAATGCTTGATCTAGTGCTCACTGTTCCTGGGTTGCTTTCTCCCAAAGTGGCCAGGCTAGCTGCTGGGGATATTCTAGTTTGCCTACTGACCAGACTTGCAAACCCTGGAAAATAAGGCCACCAGCTGTTCTGCTTCCTCTTGAGACCTTCTCTCAGGGGTGCTATTGTCCCGGCTGCCCTACACTGTGTGCACTGGCTGAAAGAAAACCCAGTCTTGGACTCATACCAGCAGCACCTGGGAGGGATGGGAGCATTGTCAAGAAGTTGAGGAGGGGGACTGTTCCCTTGCAGAAACAGGTGCATGGGAGCCATGCCATCAACCTTATCTTAATTTTTCCTCCAATCACATCTTGGAGTTAAGATCCAAGAGGTTAATAAAAATATATGCCAGAGGCAACCTAATACTAAGTGTGAATGCTGGAATGGGTCCTCTCATTTACTGGGCTGACAGAGGTGCTCATCAATTGGCTCAAAGGGAACATGGCCCCAGGGTTTTCTTGATGTCATTTTTAATGGTATTAAACCATTTTTGGTTAAGAGTCAGCAGGAACTAGGGTTTTCTGGACGGCATCCACGTTAGTTTACTTGAACCTAGAGAAAAATAACATGCCCATGCCAGGGTTTTTATACCAGAGGGGAAAAGCACAAAGAGACAGATCTGAGAAACCCAGGACCCTCTCACACGACTAGGGAATACGGAACTTAACCCACAGTGTGCCAAAAACAAATGCACATTTCTGCAAAGCCAATCTACTTACACATTTCCAGGACAGTGAAAACATCCTTTAGAACTGACATATCACTCTCTCCCTTCAGCAACATACATTTGTTTCTTAATCTTGGCATCTTTGACCATAGCAAAGCCTTCTGGGTAAACACATCTCTCATCTCTCCAGTTTATAGGCTGTAAGTAGGGTCTGTTTTCCATCTAGGTTTGATCCAGGGCCCAAAGCCTCCAGCAACAGTTCCCATTACAAGTCACTATCCTTTTATATTGAGTTGAGTTTTGACACTGCTGGGAGAACTCAGTTTAAAAAACAAAAACAAAACCTTTCAGACATGTTGTTAGGGAGATCTGAAGACAGGAAAACTCACCAGTCAGCAGACACAGACCCCTTTAATAAAATAAGAATTACTAAAATAATTTTTTAAATCTAGAAGACATCCAAGCTTAAAAACACTGTTGGCTGGGAGCATGGGGTAGAAATTTGTTCCTGGCTTGTTTTGTATTTATACGTGGATAAATACCTCCACATGAAAACTAACACTATGTAGTTAAAAAGAACAACACACCCACTAAGAGAGAGGGAGGAATTGGGTTGAATCCACACGTGAGGGGCTTGGATGCTGCTTCTGTTTATGTGTCGCTTCCTTGTCTCTTATGAAAGACTGGAGAGCCCATGTCCTTTTGGCAAAGCCAGACCCTATCTCCTCCCTGCCACCCTCCCTTTCTCCCTTCCTGTGCCAAGTCCCCGGGCCAAGGGTCGTGGTTAGAAATGGGTTTCAGTGCAGTTAGGCAGTGGAGGGGTCTCGAGGGCTGGCCAGTTCATGGTCACCGTGTCCTAGGCCTCAGACTCATCACAGTATCACGCACTGTAGTTTGTGGGTGCCAGTGGCTCGGTCTCCCCGCCACTTGGTTTTCTTCTTCTTCTTCTGGCTCTTTTCAGGAATCTGTTGTCTTTTGAAACAAAGAACAGAAAGACCAAGTCAGAATGGGCTTTGCTTTTCCTCTGCACCTCCCCTCTCTTGACTCCAGTTCTGTGGCAGAGAAGGCCTGTTCTGAGGTTGGTGGACAGAGCCACTGCCATCCCAGCTAAAGGAGGGCCTTGCCTAGATAGGGCCTCTGAGGAGGGAGACAAGGACAGAGGAAAACCTAAATCAACCTACTGATAAGAATCATGGTCATTATACCGGGTCTACATATTTAAATCACAAGTAATGTCATGTTTTATGATTTATATTGTGTTGGCCTCTACTTCTGTGTTTCATAGTTTAAATTAAATGAAAGGTCAACTGAGTAAAAAAGCTTTTCACAGGCTTTCTGTTTATTTTTCCTATGGCTAAAACTTGCACTTGGAACTATATGGGTCTACAATCAACCCTGATGATGGCATATTCTAACTGCAGGCAAAATGCTGAGAGAAAAATCATTTCAAGGGTACAGCACAGGGAGAGCCATCAAAAGTGTAAAGTGAAGGTTACAAGGTCACTGGTCAGGGTGGGTATCATGGTTAAAGTCAACTTGGCCAGGCCATGTTTCTCAGTGGTTTCTCAGATATTATGCAATCACCTCCATTTTGTGATCTGATGTGAGGAGCCAATCAGTTGAAATGGGAGTTTCCTTAGAGGTGTGGCTTCAATCCAATATATATATGGATGTTCTGACAACATTTGCTTGTTCTCCATCCTGTATCCAACTTGTTATCATCTGACCTCTGGTTCTTGGCACCTGCCAGTTTGGGGCTTGCCGGCCCCTACAACCATGTGAGTCAGGAGAAGCCTTCAATTTGACATCCAGATGGCAAACCCCAAAATTGGCTGTGTGAGCCCACCCAGTCTAAGACAGTGCGGAATAGCAAGAAAATGTGCTTGCTAAACATGTGCGTATGCATGCATGCATGCAAGTATGTATCATAGGGACTTAGAGGTGGTAGACAAAGAAGGGAACTGGTATAGCTTTGGGTCTGGTCCCACAGGTAACAAATAGCCCTTAGGGTTCACCAGCATAAAGGCAACACGCTCATGTTATTTGAGAACCACCGATTAAGTCACTTGGAATGTTAGAGATTTTGAAGATGGGAAAGAAGGGTGGCAGGAAGACCAGCCAATAGGTTGTTGCAACCCTCTACGCATGAGGTGATTAAGGCCTGGACTCTGGACAAGCAAAGAAATATACAAGGGTCAGCAAATATTCAGCGAAGTTTCTGACATACTCGGAGGCTGACAATGTGTGAGGTGTGGCAAGAAAACACAAAAGCAATGCTTCTGGAATTTAAGCCTGGGAATGAGAATGTTGTCTGTTCAGGGAAAATGTCCAAGGGCAGTCTGATATCAGTCAGGGAAGACGATATAGGTCTACTTTTAAAAAAAAAAAATTTATCAAGTTTTAAAAAAAAGCTGCCGTGTAGAGAGAACACAGGATGGGATGGAAGAAGCTGCCTTTTGGGAGACTCAACTGCAGGACTGAGGGCAAAGGCAGAGGGAGGCTGCCAAAGCTGACCCTCAGGAAGGTTTATCCACATTGAGCTGTGAGCATCAGGTTCACCCATAGGCCCATTTGTGGTTGAGGGAGGGTGAAGGCAGGTTGGAAGCAGAAGAAAGAAATGGTAGGAAGCATAAGAAATCCAAAAAGAGGAACACAGAGTAGTGCTGGTTGATCAACAGGATACATGTGATTAATCTCACTGAACTCTACATGTAAAAGAAAAGTTGAAATGCAAATGTTGTGTATCATATATTTTTACCACAAAAGAAAGAAATCCTCAAATAGGCCCCAAATCCCCCAGTCTCACAGGTCACAGAACAAGGAGCTATGTTGGTAACTAGAGCCTCCAGCCACAGCCAGATGCCCATCCATGCAGCAGACAACCCTGCTTCTAGGAATGTGTTCAGCACTTACCTAATTACTCTGACGAGGTCATGGAAGGCTTTGTCCACATTGAGAGGTGGGTCCTTGGCACTGGTTTCTATGTACGGAATCTAAAAGGCAAAGCTCGACTTTGTGAACGTCGTATCAAGTCACTCAAAGCCCTACACACCCTTAACAAGGCAGAGTCCCAGAGGTGCCAAGGAGTCAAGCGATTTTAAAGCCCCCAACAAAGACCCTGGACTCCAATAGCCTCATGCCTTCTGTGGTGTGGTAGCCTCTTGCTTTTAAAGGTTGGAAAGTTTTACTAATAGCTTTTCTAAATTCCTCTTGTTCTCTAGTCACAGAGACATTAAATAGCTCCCTAAAAATAGCAGAAAATTATCTTTTTATACACTTGAAGACTGAAGACTGCTTTATATGTCAAATTAAAATACTTTCTAATTCTAGTCATGTTTCTTTTGTTCTCTTTCTCTATCTTGGGGTGACTTCTGCCCCTCCTTCTGAGCCCTCCAGAGTGGACTGTAGTGGAAAAGGCTGAGGTAAGGCTGGACCAGGAGAAGGACTCAGCCCTGCAGTTCCTGGCCAGTCAGTGCCCACCCACCCCACAACACTCCCACCTTCTCAGAGTCTGCCCAGCACAGTTCTCTCATTTTAATCTGTTCTGTTGTCTTATTTTACACTTGTGGGCCTAAGTTCTAGTTCAGTACACCAGGACTATAAGAGTGATAGGGTATTAACTTTTATACACACACCACCCTCACAACACACACACACACACACATACAACATACATTGTGTTTGGTCGCCATTTCTTTTCCTTGCTCCCTGGTGATCTTCCTCAAGTGCATCAAATCAACTTTGTTGGCCACAAGGATCATTGGGAATGACTCCCTTGGGAAATAAAGCAACAGTGATTTGGTAAGATTCCACTGCCCCCTGGGCAGGACACTACCCATACTGTCTCCTCAGTTGGCCTGGGCTCCAGAGTCCATGCCCTCATGTGTCCAGAGAGGGGAAGGTAGCTGGCCCAAGACTAGGGAGTGGACTAGGTTGAAGAGTCTTGGGACTGTTGGTTGTCTTGCTGTGAAGCCTTAGGCCTGTTTGAAGGGCAGCAAGGGGCTCTCCTGGGTCCCACCTCCAGTGTAAGTCACCACAGCTAATGACAAGGACTCCTGTCAGTGTAGAGTCGCTGTTTACCCATCTCTCAGTCACTGCACTGTACCCATCATGCAGGGCTGCTGTGGCCAGTCATGAAGAGCACTGAGGACAGGGCCAGACACAAAGTGGTCACTTGATACGTGGCAGCTATAGGGTTCCAGGAGTGGAAGCAGAATTCAAGAGGCAGAGCTATCTTAAAGGTATAGTCAACATTATGTGGCCAAGTTGTATTCTAAATACTAATGAAATGCTGGTCTTTCATCAGTAGCATTGAATATTTTCATTTTAAAAATTATAATTTAATAGATAAAAAATAGTCCTGTATTATTTTTACTTGCATTTCATTGATTAGCAAGAAGTTTAAATATCTTCTCACTTCTGAGTCTTTTATTTAAGTTTTCTCTTTTGAGATTCATATATTTTCAGGTGTGGCACTGTGGGTTAATGTGCTGGACTGAAAAGTCAGTTTGAACTGCGAGGCCGGCATTTCAAGCTCACCAGTTGCTCCTCAGAAACCCTACACAGGGTCGCTAGGGATTAGAAGCGACTCAACAGCAGTTACCAACAACCACCCACATTAAAGTACTGGCGATTGATGTGTTGCATATGAGTGTGTGTGTAAAGTTATTAACGCTTTGTCTTCGGAATAGGTATTAACTACATGTCTCCATCTTTACTGGGGTTTCTTCTGGGCTTGCTATCTTCCCATTAGTTTTTCCCCTTATTTTCTTTATATTGCCTCTTTGAGATCCAATGAATTGCTTAAAACAGATTCCAAAGTATTTACTCTCTGGTAGCATAGTGGTTATGAATCGGGCTGCTAATCTCACGGTCAGCAGTTCGAAACTACCAGCTGTTCTGCGAGAGAAAGATGAGGCTTTCTGTTCCCATAAAGATTTACAGCCTCGAAAACCCTGTACAGGGTCACTATGAGTAGGAACTGACTCCATGGCGCATAACAACAACAACAACATAATCCTAAGGGGGGAAAAACCCAAAAGATCAGCCTTTAATTATTGCTGTTGTTATTAAGTGCCGTTGAGTCAATTCCAACTCATAGCAATCCTGTATAGGGTTTGTGAGGCTGTCAATCTTTATAGGAGCAGAAAGCCTCATCTTTCTCCCAAGGAGTGGCTAGTAGATTCCAATTGCTGACCTTGCAGTTAGCAGTCCAGCTCACAGTTCACTATGCTACTAGGGCCCCTTTAGGGCTCCCTTGTTGTTGTTAAGTGCCTTCAAGTCAGTTCCAACTCATAGCGCCCCTGTATAGGGTTTCCCAGGAGTAGCTGGTGAGTTTCCACCACGCACCCTGTGTTTCAAATTGACCTAAGCCTGTAAATTTAACATTCAAATGAGATTTAACCAAGTACAATGTGTTACTGGAGAAAAAAAAAAAAAGAACTTTTCCTTTGAATATAATTTGGTTAAACTGGCATTGAAAAAGGAGGGTATTGTTAATGATTTCTTGGTGAGGGGACAGTTTATGAGAGGTGGGAGGAGGCCGACCCCTACAGGGCTTGAATCAGTTTGGCTCTATAAAAAGAATTAGGAAGGGAATGAGCAGGACCAAGGTCTGACTTCAGCTCTGCCCCTCTGTGCTTCAGCTGTTGCCTGAACATCTGAGAGGGAGAGAGAGCAGCTGAGCCCCTCTGAGTTGCGGAGGCCCCCCTATGCCGCCCTCACCTGTCCTTGACACGAAGGATGAGCTGGTGAAAGCGGTCCACATGCTCGAAGCTGGCCTTGTCAGTGACTGAGTAGACGATGAGGAAGCCGTCGCCCGTCCGCATGTACTGCTCTCTCATGGCGCTGAACTCCTCCTGGCCGGCCGTGTCCAGAACTGGGGTGGGAGGAGGGACTCAGGGACTGCCACCACCAACCCCCACAGAAGGACACAGGAGGCTCCCCATGGACTTCAGGGCGAGGCTCTAACCGGCTTGTCTGTGGACCCACTGGGTTCTCTCACAGTTTCCAACCTATGGTGTTCAGTGGTCCGAAATTCTCCAACGTACATACAGAAAGGCCTCAAAAATCCAGTGGTCAAATCTACCCCCAGAATTCTCCTGGAGAGTCCTCAGAGCTGTGAGTCGTATACAAGCTATGATTCTTTGAGAAGTTATCTGACTCTGCCTGGTATCCCCTTTCCTCTCTATAAAGTGGAAGCTATGCCAAGTAGGGAGGATTATAGGTGGGCAAGTGTTGTGTGCATGGGTGTGCGTGGAAATGCCTGGGTAAAGCTCTGAAATGTAACTTCTCCCTGGGTAGGATCATATACTTGCCAGGATGCAGGAGTGATGGAGTGCTAGGAGTGGAGGGAGGGGCAGAAAGCAGGCGCAGGAAGTACTAGGAGTAGAGTGGGGGACAGAGTGCAGGGAAAAGGCCATGACACCCATCCATCGTCCTGCCTCACTTCCTCACCCCAGGCTTCCACTCACTGAGATACAGATACTGCCTGTTTCAGAGCGATCATACGCACAGCTGGGGTGGGGAGAGTGTTTCCTTTTAAAATTGCAAACAACCCCCTCACATCCCTCAAACCCTATAGGGGCATGAAGACTGCAGCCTCCCAAGCCCCGTCTCTCCTTCCAGTCAGTCTCTCTCTCTCTCTCTCTCTGTCTCTCTCTCTCTGTGTGTGTTTCTCAGCCACTCTTCTCCCAGGGCTCCTCACAAGCTAGTGGAGCATGGTTACCAATACACTTTGGAACCAGACCGTTTGCTCGTTGAGTCTGGCTCCTCAAACAGAGCTCTCAAACAGAGCCTGGTACAAAGAAGCCCGAGAAGCATGACCCTGTGTCCTGTGGGATGTTTGCTTCCACCTCTGGGCCTTTCTTTTTCCTTCTCTTTCTGCTGTTATTGGATAAGCATTGGGCTGTAACTGTAACATTGGGGGTTCAAAGTCACCAGCTGCTCTGCAGAAGAAAGATGAGGTTGGCTGTTTCCGTAAAGATTTATAGTCTCGGAAACCCTTTACAGGGTCACTATGACCTAAAATTAATTGGATGGCAGTGGGTGTGGGTTTATTGTTGTTGAAAATATACAGAGCAAATCATACACCAATTTGACAACTTTTACATGTCCAGCCCAGTGACACTGATGACATTCTTCAAATTGTGCGGCCATTGTCACCTTCCTTTTCTGGTTTGTTCCTACCCTATTGGCATAGACTTACTTCCCCCTAAGCTTCCTATGTGGAGTCCTGTTGTGGTGCAGTAGGATCAGCACTGGACTGCAAACCACAAGTCCATGAGCCATTCCTGGGAAATCCTATGCAGGGTGGCTATGAGTCAGAACTGACTCAATGGTACTTCACAACAAGCTTCCTATGTAATCTCCCAAGTTGCTGGTATCAATTTGACTCCATACAGTTCTTAAGGAGCATTGGTGGCACTGTGGGATAAGCACTGGACTGCCAATCACAAGGTCAGCAGTTTGAGCCCACCAGCTGCTCCAAGGGGGAAAGATGAGGCTTTTTGCTCATCTTACAGCCTCATTTACAGCCTCAGAAACCCTATGCAGGGTTGCTATGAATTGGAACTGACTCACAACACTTCATAACAACAGCAGAGAGTCCTTTAAAAGAACACAGTGCTCATGGCAGACATTCTTTATTAATGAAACTAGACTCTTGTTTGGTTTAAAGAAGGCTTCAAGGGACATCTGTGATTGAAGGTTTCAGGTTTAAAGATGACCTCAGGGCCATAGTTTTAGGGGTTCATCCCACCTCTGGGTCTCTGCACAGTCACCCCCTTGCTCTGGGACTTCTTCCTCTAACCACCCTCCGGCTCCCCTTCTCCGTTGATTTGTGGACTGATGCTGACTTACCCTAAATGGTCCTTCTCTGGGAAGCACTCTGCTGTTTGAGCTCCTATTACTTCTCCCACCCCACACTGACCCTTCTTGGCATCTTCTCACTGCCCATTTCATTATGATCAGTCCCCATAATATTGTGGGAATTTAGGACATACCTCTCTGAAAATTGAACCAAAAAAGTTAACTTTAGATTTTAAAATTGGCCCACTGAAAAGTAATGATGAAATAATATAATTTTAAAAATTTGATCAGACATGGTGAAAGAATAAACTTTATACTTAAACAGTGAGTAAACAATTTTCAAATACACATAGAAAAGTCACAAAACATTGGTCATCTATTGGGTTGCTATGAGCCAGAACCGACTCAACGGCACTTAACAACAACAACAATTAGGCCATAAAGGAAAATTTCACCAGATCCAAAAAGCAAAAATTATACAGGCTGAATGCAGAGAATACCATAAAGATGTTTACTTGTGCTTTATTGACTATGCAAAGTCTTTCACTGTGTTGATCGTGACAAACTATGGACAACACTGTTGTGGAAGAATGAGTATTTCAGAACATTTCATTCTGCCCATGAGGAAGGTTCCTCATAGACCAAGAGGCTGTTGCTTGAACAGAACAAGGGAACATACAATGGTATAAAATCAGGAAAGGTGTACGCCAAGGTTGTATTCTTTCACCATACTTGTTTAATCTGTATTCTGAGCAAATAATCTGAGAAACTGGATTACATGAAGAAGAACATGGCATCAAGAATCAGAGGAAGACTCATTAACAACTGTGATATGCAGATGATACAATCTTGCTTGCTAGAGATGAAGAGGACTTAAAATACGGACTGATGATGATCTAAGACCACAGCCTGAAGTATAGACTGCACCTCAATGTAAAGAAAACAAAAATCCTCACAATTGGACCAATAAATAACCTGATTGAAATGGAGACCTGATTGAAATTGTCAAAGACATAATTTTGCTTCGATCTACTATCAACACTCATGGAAGCAGCAGTCAAAGGAATCAAATGACGTACTGCATTAGGCAAATCTGCTGCACATGACATCTTTAAAGTGTCCAAGAGCAAATAGTTTGAGGACTAAGGTACGCTTGACCCAAACCATGGTACTTTCAGTAGCCTAATAATATTCATGTGAAAGGAAGATGGTAGAAGAACTGATGCATTTGAGTTGTAGTATTGGAGAAGAACATGAAAAGTACCTTGGACTGCCAAATCTGTGTTGGAAGAAGCATAACCAGAATGTTCCTTAGAAGCTAGGATGGCAAGACTTCATCTCTGTACTTTGAACATGTTATCAGGATGGATCAGTTCCTGGAGAAAGACATCATGCTTGGCAAAGTGGAAGGTGAGTGAAAACATGGAAGATCTTAACAAGATGGACTGGCACAACTATTGGCACAGTGGCAGCAACAATGGACTCAAGCGTAACAACAATTGTGAGGACGGTGCAGAAGTGGGCAGTGTTTCATTCTGTTGTGCATAGAGTCACTATAAGGTGGAACCAACTTGATGGTACCTAACTACAACAATGACATATAGGCTGTGTTTTGCCTATTTTGTTGTTATTGTCAGGTGCCATCGAGTTGGAACTAACTCATAGCGGCCCCATGCACAGCAGAATGAAACAATGTCCAATCCTGGGCCAACCTCACTACTGCCGCCACATTCGATGCCATCAATGATGCTACCTGGCCGATCCATCTCGTTGGGGGTCTTCTGCTTTTTCTCTGACCCTCCATCTTACCCAGCATGACATTCTTCTCCAGTGACTGTTCCCTCCTGACAGTATGTCCAAAGTATGAGAGACGAAGCTTAGCCATCCTGGCCTCCAAGGATCAACTCTGGCTGTACTTCTTCCAAAACAGATCTATTGGTTCTTTTGGCAGTCCATGGTACTTTTAGTATTCTCCTCCAACACCACAATTCAAAATATTGCATTAGGCAAATCTGCTGCATAGGAACTTTTTCTAAAGTGTTAAAGAGCAAAGATATCACCTTGAGGACTAAGGTATGCCTGCCCCAAGCCATGGTATTTTCAATAACCTCATATGGATGCGAAAGCTGGACGGTGAATAAGGAAGATGGTAGAAGAATTGATGCCTTTGAATTGTGTTTTGCCTATAAGACAATAAAATCCAAAAGTAACAGAAACTGAGTATAAGAAAATATATATCCACTTAAAAATATAAGAAGCTACAGCTCTATAACTTCCAAGTTAAAGAGAAAAGCAAAGCCAAAATTATAAACAATTTAGAATAGAATGACAATGGACAATAATAAAACCTCTGAGGCCAAAGTGGTACTCAGGAAAATTATAGCTTTAAATGCATTTGCGAAAACAAGAAAAACTGAAACATTAACTAAGTACATAAATCAAGAAGGTAGAGAAGGGGGAAGAAAAAAGAAATCAGCCTTAAAGTAGAAATTAAGAAAATGGGAGAAGGGACTTCTGGGACAAGATGGTAGAGTAGGCAGATGTGCTGAGCTGACCCTCTGTAATAACGATATGGGAGACTCAGTGGAACAGATGGTGGTCCTGGAACCTTGAATGTTAGAGGATAGAACAGAGAGGGGGATTGAGTGCCAACTGGAAGAAGACGCTGAACAGGAGAAGTGAGAAAGAAGAAAAATGAGTGGGTTATTGTCTGGCTTGCAGAGGCACAATGTGGCGCTGTGGGTTAATGCGCTGGCCTGCAAGGTCAGTTTGAACCACAAGATAAGTGGTTTAAGCTCATCAGCCACTCCTCAGAAACCCTATACAAGATCGCTATAGGTCAGAACCAACTCGATGGCACTTAACAACAGCAACAATAACAGCAACATCAATACAGTGGCCTGGAGGTACAGGATGAAGATGGAGGTTGGCAGCAAGACGGGTGTGGTTCCCCCTTGTTCTTCAAACCCTCCTGGAACCTGGGCACATGGCTAGGCACTGCCATTGCTGGCCCAGAGGCCAGTGGCACCCACTCCTGTGTGGCCTCTCCTCTGTCAGGGGTCAGATACT